ACAACCTCATTTAAAAGAATAAATCCATTAAGGAGCTGAGAACTTTCTGGCGTGAAATGAAAAATATTGATTGCTTCCTACCTGTTAGCAATGAAATCCCATCCAGTTAATTAACCTGCTCAGTGATAGAGTTTATTTTTGCCCTTCACCTTTAGTTCCAAATCTTTAAAGCCATTAAAACAAGTACCTGGTCAATGAATAAATCTTCTCACAGAGAGGCATTTAGAACCTTCTGTAATCTGGCTCCATTCACCCTACTGCCTTTACTTTTAAGCTACTTGCCTTCAAGCACCTTCCAGCCCGTCCAAATAGGAGGGCTGACGTATTGTGTTTCTGCTGCCAAGAATTGCTTCCTTCTTCTGAATTCCACATCTTTTTAAACTCAGTTAGGATGTCATTTCTTGAAAAAGGCTTTCCCAGAACTCTGGCACAGATCCCCACCTCCCCCAACCTCTTCCCACCTCTCCTAATTGCTACTAAACTGAAGGTATTACCTCCTTATCCTGAACACTCCTAAAACTTTTTATACTTGGATAGCACTTATTGTGTGTCTTACATTATGATTATGCATGTATTTCTCGAATGAGACTCTTGAGGATGCAGCTCTAACCAATTCATGGTTGCATGCCTGTATCTCCCAACACCATTCCTCACCTGTGATTGGTGTTCGGTAAATGTTTTCTGAATGTTTTAAATGGAGACCCATTGATTTAACATTTTCTTTATGGCTGTTTTTCCTCTCGAGGCTCATGATTCAACACTAACATAGAGGGAGTCTAATTCAGTGAGATGTTTTTCAGGGTTCTTATTACATTTTAAACAGAATTCACAAGGCTCTGTTTTTCTATAGACAGCCCAATTGTGTGGTGTCGCCCCCCTACCCCCACCATTAGTAGTTTTCTATTTACAGATCTCTTTCCCGTGCAAAGGCAGGGTGGAACAAAACTGGCTTCTTTTGGTCACCACCCATTTCTACAACCCTGAATACAGGATCAAAATCTCTTTGAGATGCGGTTTTCTATCTCCTGCCCCCCCCCCAGTTTACTACCCAACACAATCGGAATTAGCATTTTATGGGTATAAAACCTTAAAACTCAATTTTGGACGCGGCAGGTACTCGGTCATGTTTACCCGGATAGGGAGAAACATTTTGCTTCACTGAAAAAAGGCCATCGATCCATTCGGTCCTTTCTCCGATCACTGGCTGGACTTTAGGTATGGCATTGTGTGCTGCCAATGAAAATACAAACATTGGTCCATACAAGGAGCTCTCAGCCCATATGAAGGGAAGCAAACATGTGATGAGATCGGTTTTATAGAGAGCGCCGTGCACAATGCCAGAGGCAGACGCAGGGTAGTGTAGAGACAGATGCTTTGAAATATTTCATTTTGCAGCAGTGTTCATGCAAGTGTCAATAATCTCAGCATTATTTCATAGTTATTAAAAACACCAACACTTTTTTATAACGTTTATTTATTTATTGTATGTGCGTATGTGGGGGAGCATGTGTGTGCCATGGTACATACATGGAGGTCAGAGAAAAACCTGCAGGAGTTAGGTCTCTCCCATGGTAAGTCAGGCTTGGTGTGGGGAGTCGACTCTCTCCTTCCATCAGGGAAGGTAGGTTGGGCTTGGTGGTGAGTGCTTTCACCTGCTGAGCCATCTTGCTGGCCTGGCATCATTTCAAATAGGATCTCAGCATTCATGTCAGCTGCCGGGACATGATTTAGCCAAGCAGCCATGCTTGGTTGACCAAGACCTAGATACAGGCCTTTGCTCCCTAGGGCTCAAGGGAATGAATCATTCGTGGAGACACCGACAAAAGGGCAGTTTTCTTATGATTCATTGAGCTGAGTTTCGTGCCAATGATATTTTGGTGTGGTGATTATACATTCTACTCTGTCTATAGCTTCAGAATTTCCAAATGCATTAGCATAATTAGCTCAGCTGTGTAGATGACTCACTGAAGTGTGTTCTTTAAGTCTGTGACCCTGGAGGAGTGGTGGGGGTAGGGTGGGGGGGAAGGGGGAAAGAAATTCTAAATTTTAAACGTCCAAAGTCTGCAGTTGTAAACACTGAGTACTTATACAGCCTGTTTTCAGTTGCCTTCTATTTTGGACTCTTGCATTTAGGGATACTCTTCTGCTCATTATAGAAGGATGGGTAGGGTAATAGAAGTCAGAAGAGGCAGAGGAAATTAAGATCAATTTCAAATTTCTCCTTGGTGGTGGCCCAGTGGAAGACTTAGATGGGGGGAAATTAGGGATATAGATTAGCATGAAGCTATATTACTGACCTGTATTCTTATGACTCACAGCTGAAAGAACACGATGGCTTGAAGTGAATAAAACTGTGATAATGGCAGCTATAAGTCATTAACAAATATGTACCTCGCCGGGCGCTGGTGGTGCATGCCTTTAATCCCAGCACTCGGGAGGCAGAGGCAGGAGGATCTCTGTGAGTTTGAGGCCAGCCTGGTCTACAGAATGAGTTCCAGGACAGCTTCCAAAGCAATACAGAGAAACCCTGTCTTGAAAACAAAAACAAATATGTACCTCATCTCAAGCCATCGACTTAGGCATATGGGATCAAAATGAGCCCAAAACACATCAAAGAAAGGGAGGGAAGGAAGGAAAGGAGGGGGGGACTTTCCTGTTGCAGTTTAAATTCTAGAAGGTGAAATTGCTTGAAGGTTTAAAGCTCTTTTCTCATGAGGTCTTAGTCACGAGAGATTTAATCTTCAGCAGGTCCCAGCTTCTATATGGAAGCCACAAAACTTTATCTTTTCCAACGCTTACAAAGTGACATCACTTTAAGTGCTTGTAATGAAGAGCGCCATAGATTCTGGTGAAGAGGCAACTGTATCGGGTGTCTACGTGCTGAGTAAAGTGGTGAGAGGGCACAGTGAGCAGGGAGCAGGGAGTCTACGAATAGTACAGTCCATCCACCCAGATCCTTTCCAGCTGGGGAAAGATGTGGGAGTGAGTACACGCATCACTCCACAATCCAAGTTCCCATTCTGCCTCTTTTACTCTTCACTGCCTCCTCCCTCCTCTCCTAAATCCCTCCTTCTCTTCGTTACCTCCCTTTCCCCTGGTTCCTCCCCATCCTCTTCCTTCAAACAGTTCTTTCTCCTCCTCTGGCTCGCTGTCTCCTAGTCTCTTTCGCTCGCATCTCCTTTCCCTCCTCCATCCCTCAGCGGCGTCTGCGTCAGGCCCCCACTAGCGTGACGCGCGGGGTCTGGGTGGGAGCTGTCCACTCACCCAGGTGCTGAACGCAGCAGCGGCTTCACTGGCCGCGCGGGTAGAAGTAGCCGGGTACCTTCTCCGCTCCAAGAAGCTTGCTTCCAGTCCTCGGACCGGCAGCCTACCGCCCCGGCACCTCCCTTCCAGCACCACCCCTTTGGGAACTGAGCCAGGGGGGCAGCAGTCGCGGCGGCGGGTGCTGAGCAACGGCGGAAGACAACACCTGGCAGCAGGCTGGAATCTGATTTGCTTCCTTTTCGGCTTTTCTAAGAGATATTTATATACGGTTCTGGGGAGTCTCCAGGACCAAGCTGGAGCCAAGTGCCGTCTGCCTGACCATCTCGGCCACACCGTCTCTATTTCCCCTCCCCATCTTCTGCTTACACCGCAAACAAGCCTTATCTCCGTGCATCCGCGAGGAGAGGTAGCAACAGCAGCGAGTCCAGCCAGCCAGAGGCAGCCGGAGGAGGGAGGGGCGTCGTGGGGGTGGAAGCAGAGAGCAGGCCGAGGCCGCCCTAGGTGGGGGGAGCGGGGGCAGAGCTGCCGACAGGACCTGGCAGCCGCCCTCCTCCGCCCCCACCCGCCAGAAGCACTCTTTTCTGATTATCTGAGAACTGAATTGTTCCATTAGTATTATTTTTTATTCTCCCCATCACTTCCCCACCGCCCCTACCCCCACGCCTGCCTTGTCTCTGGTTGCATGGCAGCACTGCCCGGGAGTGGGGGCTCAGGGCCAGCCCCCCGGGAAGGAAGAGGAGGAGGATCATGAAGCCTGGAGTCGCGACCGCGCTGGACCGCGGGCAGCAGCCAGAGGACCAGCCGGAGCAGCCCCCACCCGGGAGATACCAGGACGCTGACCAGCAGTCGCTTCTGCTGCCACAGCAGCAGCGCGGGTCGCGTGCAGATCCAGAGCAGGAGGAGGAGGACGACAGCGACCCAGAAGAGGACGAGGAGGAGAAAGCGAGGCCACTTTCCAGCCCGGACCTGCCTGTCTTCCAGCTCTCAAACCTCGCCCGAAGGGACCTTTGATGGAACCAAGGGGAGGGGCCTCCGATTTACAGACTGCAGCTGGAGTGGGCTGGGGGCTGAGATCATGTAACTATTCCTTCCTTCGGTCCCCTCCCACACATCCCTCTTCTCTACCTCCTTTCTCCTTCCCTCTCCCAAACACATCCTTCCTCTATTCAGGACCTTAGGCTCTGGAAGGAAGCAACCCTTCGAGGGTTAGGGATCTTTTTCCCTCCATCCTTTCCTGGTCCACCGCCCTATATCCCACCTCTTCCGTGTAGCCTTTGGCTGCATAGGCAAAGCACAAGCTCTTTGCCCAATTTCACCTGCAACCAGTCCCCCCATTCCTCTCTTAAAAGCAACTCTGGTGCTACTGGGGGTTAATTGCCCCAGTTTTCTGCCCAAGAGAATTAGAACTTCTCCTACCCCCCCCATCTTGCCTTCCCCCAGCCACTTCTTACACCCGAGGAAGCCTATCTTTTCTCTCACACGTGCAATCTTTGATTCTTCACTGAGCCGGTTTGCCCAAGCCCAGATCTAGCTGCTCCAAATTTGATTTATAACCTTCTCCACCCTTTTATATAAAGGAGATTTACCACAGCCTGGAGTTTTGAGAAGAATCTATCAATCCTTTCCTTGGGAACTTTTAACAAGTAGACATTGGTCATACATTCCAGCCTCGATGCTTCTTCTATTGCCCTGCCTCTCCTAGAATTCTGGGGTCAAAGACAGAAAGGAGCCAACAGCCAGAACTAAGTCTGAGGCTGGGGTGGGGCTGCCAGGGCAAGAAAAACTTTTTTCCCCACTTTGCATTTTCTTAGGAGCGTTCAGAATCATTGACTCACAGTTGTCAGTTTAGGGGATAATTTATTTGCTGCTTGGAGGGGTTCTAAGAAGAGCCAATAAGAAAGGAGGTTCTTCCATAACACAGAAACACTGTGGACCCCAAGCCCCACCCTAGCCACCTTTTCAAAGACTCCAGCTGCCCCCCTCCAGTGCTCTGCTTCCCCATCACATGCTCATGCCCCTGGGTGGGCTGCTGCGGTGGTGCTGCGGTGGCTGGTACTGCTGTGGATTGTGCACCCCAGACCCCCAGATGTTGCGCCACCAGGGTCTCCTCAAGTGCCGCTGCCGAATGCTCCTCAATGACCTGAAGGTTTTCCTACTGAGGCGCCCCACTCCAGCGCCCCTGCCCATGCACGGCGACCCCCAGCTCCCTGGTGTGGCGGCCAACAACAACACCCTTCCGGCTCTCGGTGCCGGGGGGTGGGCAGGCTGGAGGGGCCCTCGAGAAGCGGTGGGAAGGGAGACCCCTCCTCTGCCACCCCCACCTCCTTCTGTGGAAGATGACTGGGATGGCCCAGCCACAGGGCCACCTGCCTCGCTGCTCAGCAGTGCTTCCTCTGATGAATTCTGTAAGGAGAAAGCTGAGGACTGCTACTCTCTAGGAAGTAGCTTGGACAGTGGTATGAGAACTCCCCTCTGCCGCATCTGTTTCCAGGGACCAGAACAGGTGAGTCCTTTCCGTTTCCCCTGCTTTGGTGTGTGGTATCTCCAGGCTGTGCAGATTGCCACTTAACTGTTTGCCCCAGGGAACTATTATGCTGTTATTAGTGTCAGGGACAGTAAACTGTTTGGAGTTTCTCAGTGATGTTTCTTGTGGTGAATCTTGACCAATGGGTGCCTGAGGAAACCTGTTTGGTAACTAACTCATTTGCACTTGGATTTTGCACCCTCCCCCAATGCAAGTCTCTCCAATCCCATCCCCAAACTTTCCTAAAGCATCCAGAGCAGATCCAGTGAGTGGAGAGGCTCAGAGGCACCTTCATGCTTGTTGCTTAAACAACACTTTTCGCTGGATTCTTGCTGGTAAAACCACCCCCGGCCCATATTCAGTTCTATGTTCAAATTTCCTCCTTTCCTGAAATTGTGCCCTTCCTATTCTCATAAAGTTAAGTAAAAGAATCCTGTTTGCTTGTTTCTTTTCCCTTTGAGGCTACCTCAATTTGCCAAGACACCTCTTGGTGATCTTGCATTTTCCTGTGTTGGAAGCAGATAATCTAAACCAGAGTGAGTTTAAAGGACACTGGGAAAGAACCTTGCCAGATCTATTCTCCTTCTCTTACACTTTCCCCATCCATGACATGGGACAGATTTCTTTTCACGTCAGGCAGGTTCTCCCTTCCTTATCTATTCAGATCCACAGACAACCCCCTAAACACTCTATCGCTTGTCTAGTACTCACATCACTAGGTAGGTGTGCTGATTCACAACATCCCTGAATTGGGGAAACACAAAACAGAGTCCTGGGAAGAAAAAACTCACCTGGAAATCAGGTCTCCTTAGTGATACAGGAGAGGAAACATTTGGTAGGAATGTGGGCAGGGTTCTGTGTTTACCTCAGTGACCTCTTTAGCAGTCTCTTAAGGGGAGAGATTCTGGGTGTTCTTGATTGAAAGATGCCACATTGGTGCTCCTGACTGGCCCCCTCTTGCTTACCCTAGGAGATGCAGGCTTAGTTGACATTTTCATTCATTTTTCCTCTCTTGTCTCTGAATGGGCAAAGCACTTAGGGATTGGTGATGCCTGGAGCTACAGCCTAGGCATCATGAAAGGAAGTAGTGAATATGTATCTCTGAGAGACTGAGGGTTGGGCTCTTCCTTCTTATGACTGTGATTACCTGAGGTAACAAATGAAATGCTGCTGGGTGAGGAGGTCCAGGTTGCCCACTCAGTGTCTTTCTTCCAGCATGCTGCTCCATTGCCAACACAGAACTTCTGTAGAAAGTGTGTGGGTCTGTGCCTAGCAGTGAAGATGAGCCTCACTTTGGGTCAGGATTTGTCTCATTCAGCGACTTCAGCTTTTCCAAAACATAGAGTGATTTTGCTTATTAACTTCCTAAACTATTTTTTCCTTCTCCCATATGGGCTGGCGCATGTGTGCATATCACAGGGGCTGTTGGAAGTGTGCCTTCTGGCAAGAGCTCTCTTGTCTCTAGAAAACAGCAAGTCTTGGAACGTGTGCTGAGATAATATTTCACCTGCTGTGAAATAGTCTTCAAATAACTCTATGCCTCTAGGCCTCTATTCCAATTTCCACTAGATAGCACTTGCTTTCCATATCCTTTCTTTGTAGGAGAGCCCAGAAGTGTGAAAATACCTTGTAAGGGATTAACATATTATTACCATGTTTTTCCATCATGCAAAAACTGCATTTTATTGGAAAAAGAAGAAGAAGAAAGAAGGACCATTAGTAATACTCTACAATGCCCTCTTGTGGCACGAGGTCTGATCAAGGGTTGGGAACTTTTGTTGTTATTGTTCATCATCTTCACTGTGTGTTATAAGTGGAGCACTGAATAAAAAAGCTAACATCACTGGAGGAATGGGTTCTCTTATTATGCGGGAGGGGCTGTGTCTTCATCAGGATGGGACCAAATCAAGCATTCATTAAAATGATTATCATTGGTCAGGTGATGGTGGCACATGCCTTTAATCCCAGCACTTGGGAGGCATAAGCAGGCAGATCTCTGAGTTCGAGGCCAGTCTGTTTACAGAGTGTTTTCCAGGACAGTCAAGGTTACACAGGGAAACCATGACTTAAGAAAGAAAAAGAAAAAAAAAAGATATCATGTTTGGGAGGGATTATTTGTAGAAGACAACTGGTTTTCCTGGGAGTGTGTTATAGTGGTAATAAGAGAGATGGGAGTGTTATGATAGACGTGGGAAACACAGTTTTCCACTTTCTTCTCACTTTTCTTTACATAATTTAAATGAGCAAGGAAAACAAAGGAGAGAAGCTGGGTGCTCTCTAGAGAAAGAGAAAAGAGGAGAGGTGGGGATAGCGAAGGAAGATGGAGAAGTGGTCCTGTATTTCAGTTTCTACTGAGAGAGAAAGAGACAAAGAGAGACAGAGAGAGCACACATCAAGCAGCTGTCTCTCCTAGTCTAGGAGAGGAAGGATCTGCAATCTGAATAGCTGAATGGCTTGCTGTTTTTCTCCCCCTGTCCAAACAAAGGAACCAAAAACTTGCCCTCCCACACACCATGCTCTCATTTGCCACTACTCTAGGATCCAAAAGATTGACAAAAATAAAGATTTCACCTCTTCTTGCAAAGTACTTACAGTAACTGGTGAAGGGTTAGAGGGAGACTCAGGTTCACATTTGCAGGTTTGCATCCATTCACTCATGCACTTAGGTGACAAATGGCTAAAAGCCACAGGGTGCCGTAGCTCCAGTGCTATGCATCTGTGAGTGAACAAAAGCAGATGAAATCTCTGCTGTCTTGAAGCTGGCCTTCTAGTGGGGACACAGAAACAGGCAAACGAACTAGTAGATAAACAAAGTGATGGAGAATTATAGGGAAAACAAGTAAGACCAAGACCATACACAGAAAAGAGTCAATCACAAATGAAGAGGAAGGGGCAAGACAAATACATCCACACTTGATAGAACAAACAGGAAGAGCCTTCCTAAGAATGCTCCATCCAAGCTGGCACCTAAATGATGAGGAGGACCTGGCAGGGGACAGATTTGGGGAAAGCATTCTTGCTGTATGAAACAGCAAACTCAAAAATCCAAATGTGAGCAGACTTAGAATGTTTGGGAAACAGAAGAGGGTCCTGGGAGGAGAAGGAAGGATGGGGTATGAGCAAATGCTTTGAGGACCTGTTGCCATTCCTGAGTAGCCAATCTGTTCTCCTCTCAGCCATTCATTCATGTAAGACCATGCTCAAACCCCCACCCCGCCCCCGAGTTTGTAGCAGGGGCTTTTGCATATCCTCCACTCTCTTCTGGTGGCTAATGCTGTCTAACCCTCCTAGAACAGTGGACTGTGGTGGTAAGCTGAGGCTGCCTGAAGCCAGATGGCTCTGAATGGAGTGATGAACTAATTACATGGCCTAACTGTGCCTCAGATTCCTCCTTTGTACAATAACAACAGTCCCTGCTTTGTAGGATGACTCTGAACCCCAAGTCAGTCAATACTACAAGAGCAGCTGTGGCTGTGTTCTGTTATGGTTATTATTCTCTCCAATGTAAGACAGAGCTCCCTTGCTTTGTCAAAGTGTGCCCCGGCTCGCAGGCTAGCAGGAGGGCTGGTACAGTGGTGGCTGGCTTCTCTTACACGTATAATGCTCTAGGCACAGAGTGCTGTTCCTCTGTTTTCAACACCAAAGTCTTTATTAAGAGCCAACTAAGCCTGCTGCTTTGCTGAACAGGAGCTAGAGACACACGTTAGATGTGGCCCGGTCTTCTAGGATGTCACAATCTAAACCAGACATCACAGGACCTGACAGAGATCAAGAACACACAGAGGACGAACCTGAGTTGATTTCATTATTATCTGAACAAGAAAGAGGCAGGTTTAAAAACAGCCAGTGGGTTGGAAACCTATTCAGAAAAGACAGGTATGGAGGATGGTGGTGATGGTAGGAGATTTTCTACTTTTCCCCCAATTAGTCAGGAAGGTTTCTCTGTTGCTGCTGAAGACCAAGTGAGAGGAAACAGATTCAGGCTGAAAGGTTGAGGCCAAATAGAAAGCTTCAGAAGAGATATAAGGAAAGTGTGCCTTCACAAAGAGATGAAACCACCTGCTAGGCTGGGAAGCTGAGGAATGCCTGGAGGTGGGGCTAAGGGCTAAGGATACAGTTCAGAGCAGGGTGGAGATGCATGTTTTGGAATTAATGAAAAGCAAGGAAACAGGTCTAAAGGAATTTAACAGACTTGGATGCCTTCAAATCAGGCAGGAGAATGGGTTTGAATTTATAACTTTTAGATTTGTCTAAATTATGCATTAGCTAATGGAGATGTCCACAGACCATACTGATTCTCTCATTAAAGTTCTGTCCATACCATTCCCTGACAGTGCTTCTTGCCCTAGTCCGCAAGCCTAGGACAGAAGGCTATAGACCTGAAGAAAATCCTTCAGGTCCTAGGAGCAGGTTTGTCTCTATCTGGGCAATAAATCCAGGGTCTCAGGTAACTGGAGCACATTCCAGAAGAGGGACATGGCTCCTCAACTTTGCAGACTCCTTGTCTGTGCTTGAGGAGGGAATAGCTATTTCCCTTCTAAAGACAGAGACACTTGCCTAGGTTCAAGGAAGGCATTGTGAAAGCAACCTGTGTGTGCTTTTTAGATCTTAGCCTAGTACCTGGTATTCAATTCATACTCTAAATAAAGTGATGAAATGTTTGCTCGAGTGGACATATTCATAGTCAAGATAATTTGGGAAAAAAAGAATGTTTAAGAGAGAAAAAACCTAACAACACAGCACTGCCATCCAATGTTAAAAGCATGTTGTATGGAGAAGGGTCATAAGGGGCAGTGCCTTGGCCAGTGAGGGATCTCCAGGGAAGTCAGTTTTGAGTTTTGATACTATCAAGTGCATTTGGTCAACCTAGGCAAAAATGCTATAGGCTTCTTTAGGGAGAAATTTGTATAGATGACTAGGGCTAGAGGACTCATGGTCTCGGTTTGAGAGTTTTGGTTCACAAAGGACCTTGTTGGAAG